AGGTTTATTGAGAAGCAATTCTATTTCAGGTCCATCCTATTTTTCTGGCTTCTCTTTCAACATTTGCTCAGTTTTATCAGTCATGAGGGCTGTACTTGCTTTGGTGATTGTCCCTTTTCTGTTTGATTTTTTGAGAAGCAATCCCATTCCAGGTGCATCCCATTTACCTGGCACAACCAAATTCTTACGTTACTTTAATTTATGATAAGAGGATGCTGTGTACCTAATTTGGTGATCCTAGCTCTAATTGTTTAGAAGGAGTTCTTGATCAATCAGAAAGACAAACAGACAAACTCTCTCAAATATATAGTAGATTATCTTTTTTTGATTATTCTTCTGGTGCCAACAAATGTTCAGCACAGCACAAGACACAACTATCAAGACAGTACCTGTTCCAAAGAGCTCACTTTCTAGATTAAGAAGGCAAGACACAGCAGAAGAGCCAGAAGAAGGAGGCACTGAAGGTCCATTATTAAATACCATTATTGTTATCAGTAATTGCCCATTTCATTACTCTAGCACCTCTCATCTCAAAGGATCCCAAAGCACTTTGAAGATTATCATTTTAGTTGAATTAGGCTAACCCTGCAAAACAATCTTTGTGAATATTTGTTTCATTAAAAAAATGACATTGTTTACACATTTAGTTCTTATTTCTAGATGAAATTCACCCTTTTGTAGAGGGTTAGTACAAGGAGTAGGCATCCATTAAGTTCTTTTCTGACATAGGACTCGTGTGGGCTCTTTGCCCATGGGTGAATTTCACTCTGCACGAATATGTTGGTAAATAAGCTTTACTAGCCTAAAAGGCATGTTTTCAGCTTCAATGCTAGAATAGTCACTGAACACAGATTCTAAACCATATAACTAAACTGTCATATATATTCATTCCAACTTTTTACTGTTGATTACTTACATCAATTTTCCAACTGACAAACAAAAACAATACATTGTGACTTTTGTACGTTACCACTACAAAGCACATTTCAGATTTTGAACATGTGCAGCGAGCTATACACAAATGAGATGCAGATCACAAACTATTCCCCAAAGAGAGTTGCCAAGAATTTTAAACAGGTTAACGTGAGAATTTTGCAGTTTTTATGGGTAATTTACAGATTGAAAAAGAAGCACAACAATCAGGCCAGTTATTTCATACAGCTCATTTGATGAGCTCTAACGTACAGCCATATAATCATTTCCTATGTCATTGCTACACCACCGTCTCTGGGGCTGACCATGCCAACAGTGAGTTAAGCCAAGACTTTAGCCAGTACTCTTGCAAAAAGGGCTGGCAACTATTTAATGGCCGGGACCACAACTCCATTAGCATAGTACCAAATCCCATGGCTGGCATCCTGTAAGAACAGTGGTTCAATAATGTCCCTCTTGAGTCCTTCATACCAACACAGTATATTTTAGCAACAAACGGGGGCTCTGCCATTAGTACTGACTCAGAAAGGAAAGTGTCTTCTATTGAGTTACCAATACCATTCCCTGCAGCACACTGCACCGAGAACCGTGCTGGGGTATCAAGATCAATACTTACTGATAGGGAGACTTGCCCCTGGCAGAGTCCC